TAACTTCTCACGAATTTTTTAAGTAACTAATAGTGCTAAAACAGCAATTATTTTCTCGCTCGTGTTTTCACGCAAATTTTCGCAAAAAGAACTCAAATTTACTCGAAAAATTGTGATGACCTTATTTGAAAATGTATCTTTAAGGTACAGATTTCATTGAGGGAAGATATCTCTTAAATATTTTAGTTGTAGGAAGACTCCGAAAAAATGTTGAACTTTTGCAATTTTCGAAAAATGAACGTTTTCAACGGACAGAGATCTGCGCCACTTTAAACGTCCTTCACACTATCTAACAAGAAATCAGAAACCATGCACTTTTTTAATTTGAAATTTGTCTCTGAGGATTCATGTACAGTACCCCCAAAATTAAAATATCGGTTTCAAAATTTCAGAGGCCTGGACATCAGCCACAAAGGTTTGGAAATATCAATTTTGGAAAAAATCACCGAGTGGACTTTGATGACCTAAGACATTGCCTTACATGATCAATACAATACTCTTAAAATGTTTTTAAAATTCATTAAAGAAAAGAAAAATGCATAATTTTCTATCAGAACAAATTTAGATCCGTAATCAAAGCAATGTTGCTAATGTAAACGTGAGGTTGACTCGACGGGGACCATGTCCTCCCCCCATGAAAACCCTAGAGACAAAATTAAAATTGTAAAAGTGCAAGAAAAATAAAAATGAGAAACACAAGAAAAAATGTAAAAGACGTCATCGAAAAAACCTGGCGTTTGCCCTTAGCCTTTTAGTTACCAATGGGAATACTGAATCTCGCTAAAATAAGTACTTAAGAAGGAAAAGTAAATATCTGAAAAGAAAAAGAAGAAAAGAGAACGAAATGTAATACAAAAGCAGAAGAGGCTTGAGACATAATTTGTGTACTCTTATCGACTTTCTTCAGTTCTGGACAGTAATGTTTCTATGTAAGCGAATGTTTAATATGTAAAGCGATATCATGCGTTTTTATTTAAATCCTATTTGTTCACATCTGTATCATAAAATGAAAAATAGAATGCTATATTTCTTTTGCAGATCTGAATTTAATTATTTTAATAATAATACTATTCAAATGCATAAACATCATTTTCTCAAAAACGTCTCCTACTTTTCCAAAGAAAATTGCCATTTAGGATGAGGTGTTACTGCTCTTTAAGCAAAACGGAAAAGTCTGTACCATTATATAGCTCCACTAGTTTTAATATAAACCGTATAGTACTTATTAAATATTAAATTTAATTTTTTAATTTTGTTAAACACATTTCATGGTAAATAACTTACTTTGTTTATCATTTTATTATAATATTTGTGCTCATATATACAAATCCCCCCAACAAAAAAATCGTATCTGGATCCGCCCATGGTTCGTGACTTCCGGTCCGCATCACAAGGGGACTTAAACGTCTGACGATCAGTGCATCTCTTATGGTTCTGGTCCTGACTTCGACATAGATGAAGATGTTTGCCTCCTTGTTTTCGTTGTGTCGCAGCATCACTATCATACTATATGTTTGGAGGGTGTGGTCCAAGAATCGATTTTCAAATATTCAGTGTAAATGGCTCGGGCGAACAACAGCTTTATTAATAATGTTTTTTTTCACGGGAAGAATATGCCGAGTGTAATACAGGGAGTCTGCTAACGTCGTCGTGTCATTAACGTTTAACTTCTGTCCTTTCATATTTTCTGTCGAACTCCCAGTTCTTTTAATGGTTACCCCAGTAAAATGTGTGTTCAGCGTTTCTTATTTCTTTCTCCCTTATTCCTTCCTCCACTCTTCTTGGTCAACGAACGTCTGTCATATTCTGCAAATGTCTGTGTTAAAAATATAAATAAAATAACTCTCGTACATTCAATTGAATTTACCGTTTTTATTTCAATTGATGAATGGGTCACTGCATATTGATTTCAGAAGAAGAAGAA